TTTTTTTTTTTTTTTTGCAGTTCTTCAAGGATCTTATGCATAGCGTATGAGGTTTTACAAGGCTTGCAATATATGAACAAACATGGAATGGTCCATCGAGCACTCTCTCCTTGCAATATTCTTTTGAATCGAAAGGTACAGCTACAGGAATAAATCTGTGGTTTTGCTTGGGTTTTGTTTTTTCCTCTTAAACACAGATTCTTCCGATGTTGGATTCTGCTGCTCTTGATAATTTATTTTTTCATTTTCAGGGACATGTGAAGTTGGCTAAGTTTGGATTGTACCATATGACTGCTCAAGGCGTTGATGTTGATTTTCCCATAGGGTAAGGTTGTAGCTACCCAATATAAATATACTGGGGATGTATGTTTTCATGAATAATATGTTTTGAGAAATCATCTTCAAAAATGTGTTTTAAGCGCAAGCCTCTTATATGTTGCTGTTTTAAGTTGTATCTGTTGCACACACTCCTTACACAAAAGCTTCTGATGATGTCACTGAAGGGGTTATCTTCTCATTAGGTGGAATTGGTGAAAAAGAGAGAATGGGTACCATACAAGCGTGTTAATGTACCTGTGTGATGTCAGTCCTTATTGCCTAGATTTGCCTTCAAATGCTAGTAGTTGCCCATGACTCAAATTCTGGAGGTACAATCTAATTTCAAATTTAGCAAAAAACACAATCAGTGCATCTCTGTGACACGCCACTGTAGGTTTCTTGTTTCTTTATATTTTTGTGATTTATTTTCAAGAGATCATGCTGTCTAGCCAAAGTGACATGCTTTGTTGCAGTGTTTCCTTGCCACTTGTTGGGTTTTTTTGGGGTGTCATGTTGTTTACAATTGAAATACTGAGCTGATTCTTAAAGATGTGCCCAAAAGAAGTACTGATGTTTCCCTTCAAAAGGTGATTTCTGATTTTTTTTTTAAGTATTATAATGAATTGTTGACAGAAAAAGCAATAATTTTATTTTAAAATGATCTAGCAGCAGGTAGAATATGTCCTCAACACCTTTTGTTACTTTTTTTACAAATTCAAAAGTTACACTGTTAATAAAGGGGAATACTGCCACCACCCCCAGATGTGGGTGTAGAATAAATTTAATTTGTGTGCTAGTGCTGAAACTCAATATATGTTTTCTTTGAGATATGTAGACATAATATTTTAAAAGCTGCGGCTATTTCCTCTCACAAAAAGACAGAGCTAGTGATTTAAGATTTGACTCTTTATGTAATAGATATTATCTGTTTTGTTATTGGAGTGAAACTGTGCTGCAATGTGTAGACTGAATAAAATAGAGCAATCTGCATTAGTATGAATTCTACTTTCTCAGAAGGCAAAATTATTTTGATTACTGTAATGGAAAGGTAGCTTTTTTGGACAGACAGGATATTACTTAATGTTGCTGCATTTTTTCTAGGTACCCATCATATCTGGCGCCAGAAGTAATTGCGCAGGGAATAGGCAAACCAAGTGATCATACTCAGTGTGAGAAGCCTCTGCCTTCTGGCCCTAAATCAGATGTGTGGTCCCTTGGTATAATATTATTTGAGCTTTGCATGGTATGTAAGAGGATAATTCTCTTGACTGTGACTCTTGGGGAATAATTACATTAACTTGATTGCTCTCGAGTTTAAGTTTGACTTTGCTCTTGAGTCTTTGCCCATCACCCGAATCCAAATATCAGAACATGTTAGCATTCCTACCTGGACAGCATCAGTGGTTCAAGGAGGAGGATGTATATTGGCTTGGTATGGGTATATGTGTGAACCATGAAGGGCAGCTGCCTGCTAAGCCACAGTGATGTGATTGCGTGATTGAATTCTTAGCAAGGAATAGCTGCCGAACCAAGAAGTCCCTCTAGATAATTTGTTCTTTTAATTATGCTTTTAAGCATGAAATTAGCATTGCTGTCATACCCTCATTCTCTTTGGAAAGTATGAGAAACTAATAAAGTCTCATGGAGAAGGAGAGAAGGGAGAATGTGCCATATTGCTAAAATTTAAAGAGCTTCTGGGTTTATTGGAAAAAGCTTATTTGACTCTAGAAGTTGAAATAAATTATGACAGCATAATCATTACTATTTGTATATGGTAAAGTGGACTCTCATTCAAAGACAGCAACATTCTGTAGAGAGGTGTGATCTAGAAAATACCTCAATATTGGTATTTAGTCTCACCATATAAGATAACAAAATTGTTGGACACTTGCATAGTGAAGAACCTGGTTTATATACTGATTAGATCAGGACATTAGAAATAGTCTCCTTTTGCATATTCTGCTCTTCTGTAAGCTTGCATACTGTTCATAGATCGTTACTGAATAAGGGCATTTTCTTAAAAATGCAATAATGATATTTTTGAAACACCTTTAAAGGGATTTTCAGATGACTTTTTAAAAGCACTGTGCAACAGTGCAAGCTACGATGATTACCGTTTAGTAATTAATTACCTTTGTTCATTCTCACATTGGAAGAAATACAGAGTTTGAAAGCCTGTTACTGAATTAATAATAAACCTGTAGGTTTGCTAAGGCAGCTTGGGGCTTTCTTTTGCCTTTTTTTTGTTTGTTTGTTTTGTTTTGGATTTGTTCCAATTAAGAGACGTTATAAATGATGCATTTTTTCTTTATAATGGCATGAAATTGTTTCTGCTATATTTGGGGTAAATAATGTTTTCTGTTGTAACAGATAGTTTTCCTAAATCTGTAATTCATGTGTAGAAGCTTATTTCACTGTCTTTTCTGTGTATTTTTGTGTAGTAGCATTCAACTATGGATTTGATTTTGTTCATTTAGGGGAGAAAATTATTCCAGAGTTTGGAGATAGCAGAAAGATTGAAATTTATAATTATGCTAGGTAAGTAGCACAAAATCAATTTTGTTAAGTTTCCAAGCAGTTCTATAATTAGAACTTTACAGACGAGTCAGCTTGTGATGCCCAGATCTAAGGCATTTTACCTTTGTCAGCTTTCATCTCCAGAATTAAATAGGCATTTGAAGTATGGTTGCTTGTCTAGGGAAGGTACAGAGGTCAGTGCCAGGAAAAATAACTTTGCAGAAGAGCCATATTAGAATAAGGGCAAACTATAAAAAATGCTTAGAAAAGGTTGTAATTTTAATTATTATTTGTTGTGTTGTGTTGCAGCAGGTTTCTGAAATGAGTTAGGAATTGTATGACACTAAAGAAAACTGTCCCTGCACCAGCAGTGCTTGTGTACCAAATCCCAAGCAGGGGAAAGCAGGAAGACAGAAAATTATTGAGAGCTGAGAAGCATATTACTGGATCCAGGCTTTTGTTTGTTGCTTCACCTACAAGCTATAAAACATTATTCTAGACGTGGAATTTTTTCTTAATGTAAATGAGTCCGGAAGTGGGAATATTTAGTGGCTTTTAAAACTTGATTTCTGGTGGAGTTTATGTATAAACCGTGGGGAGGGGAAGGGCATGAAATTGCAATTTGAAGCTTTATCAGTAAGTTGTTATTATCCAGAGCAAATAGTAATACTGTCAAAGCTAGTTACTGTCAGTAGAAACATCTTTTTCATTCAGCAGTTAGTGCTGAATCTGATATCCTGTTTATTTGGTATCAGTTTTTTCACAGTATTTAACTTTTATTGTTCTGTTTGGTTTTTTTCAAAGGCTGTGTAGATGATATTGTAACTGTATTGGCTGAAGAACATGGTTGCCTTGATATTATTAAGGTTTGTGGAACTAATTTGCTCCTCCATGCTGTCCTATTGAAAACATTTTATTATTGTTGCATAGTATTTCACTTTTTTTTTTAACTGATTTGGTCACTTGATGTATTGCAGTATGAAGACAAATTTTGAAGTCTAAACTACATATCTAAGATCTTTTCAAATAGCTAGTGTTGGTAATATTCATTCTTTCCTAAAATTACTGAGTGAATGTTAGTGCTTGCTGGGTAGTTTAAGTTATAGATTTTCTTTAAAGTGTTGGGAGTTAAGTATTTTTCTTCTTGAAATTTAGTCTTCTATCTGGTCCACTTTACACATTCTGATAGTGTAGGTTTACACAGTTCAGCTCCTCCCCACCCCTAAAATTAATTGCTGACTTTTAGTGTCGGTGTGTTCTGAGACATTGTGTAAGAGAATTCTGATTATTAGCAGGAGGGAGTTCCCAGGTACAGTGTTGTTTCAAGCAAGCTATAGAATATCCAAATTAAAAAATAAAAATAAAAAGCTGCATATATTGCAAATTTTACAGATTTCCCCCCCCCCAAAGCAAGTGCAGAGTTGAGGGGTGAGAGGAATTATTTCCCCAGCATTTTACTCTGACACAGCTAACCTCATGTGTAGGTGTGATATTTTATTGTGCTCAAAGGAATATCCTATATGTTAAAGGTTAAGTACTAGCTTGGTGAATTATGAGAGTGATAAACAGACCTCACAGACCTCATCCATATTTTTCCTGTGTTGCAGGACCTTTCTGAAAATATCATAGCTCTACTGAAGAAATGCCTGACATTCCAACCTTCTAAGAGGCAGGTATTCTGTACAAATGCCTAGTAAACCCTGCTGGGGTACTATGGAATGAGAAGACCTGCTGCTGAACATTTTTTTGAATATTGACAAATTGTGCTACCTATAGGAAATTCTTGGGTTTGTTGCTTTTCAGTGTTCAAAGGAAAAGAATTGAGGGGGCAGAAATCAAGTGTGCAAAATCTCAAGATTGAATCTGAGTATTCTGGGGGAAAACTATTCAGGCATTTATATTCTGAGTTCACGGTTCTTACTGATTCCACGTCTGGAAGGTGGTGGTGGTTACTACGTTGTAGCCAGAATTAGGGATGCTTTTTTCAAATCTCTTATTTGAAAGTACTTTTTCATTATGTCAGTCCACCACAACTTTCTTCTGAAAACTGAAGTATGCTTTTGTTCTTTAATCCTGGCTTTGCATTTGCATTTTTTCCATCTCTGCTTAGAGGAATTAAAGGAGAATTAATAAAATAGTTGCTATGTATGTTGAATGAAGGTGAGACGTGAACCTGGGCTGTAAACAGACTGTGTGGGGTGTTATACATCAGGAATTAAACAAAATCGGTAGACATTTTTGCTACTGAATTTCAGAAATTTTAATATAACTTAAAATAACTAGCTAATATTTGTTACTGGGGACATATCTTACTGAAATGTAATATTTTTTGGAATCACTTTTCTCTTAGTGTTTTATTCTCTTAATTCAAGGCCAACTCCAGAGGAATTGCTGCGTGACAGTTTGTTCACTGAAGTATCCTCACTATATCCTCCCTTCCACAAACCTGTTGGTCTGTTCTCATCTTCTCCAAGGTGTGCTAATTTAACGCTTCCTGAAGACATAAGTCAATTATGTAAAGGTAAAAGCAGGTAGCGGGATAAATGCCATTGAAGGGGGAAGGAAAATAAAATGTTTTCACATTTTCTTTGAATACTTTGTTGGAGAGAAACTACTAAATGTTATAATACTACATTTTGTAATAAATTGTTTAATGGGCAGAGATAGGGGCAAGCATGTTTTGAGGGGTGTGTGCAAGTCAAAGGAGGGCATCTTGACTTTGTGCTTCAACCTCGGAATAAATAGTTATCATTAGTATTCAAGTACAGCTTGGAATATCAGTATCATCTTTTGCCTTTAGAATTCGGACATGTGGATGTACAAGGCATTTTTTTTCACTAAGTTGTGTTGTGAATTGGTAATTGGATTCTGGTGGATCACAGCATGACAATACTTTTGGAAGTATTGGAAAACTAAATCCTTGTGCAAAAGGTGATATTCTAGAATAAAATACAACATTTCTAAGTTTGAAACTACAGTATGCTAAGGTGTTACCACTCTTAAGTCCTCATTAACTTGTTCTGATGAACTCAGATTTCTACATGTTTAGGAAATGTCATTATACAATTTTTGGAGACTAGGATTTTATACCTTGTTAGTATGGGTATGGTATGTGAAGGGAAGATAGATTATAACTACTCAGTATGAATTAATATTTTCTTATTTTTACTCTTAGTGCTGTGTTGTCTACAAAATAGTGTGGGGTTATTTTTTTAAAGACACACAGGAAGCAAAAGTCCACACTTCAATGTATTTACCTGATTGGTTCTATTTTCTGGCACCAAGGCAAACTGCACAGATATTTGGTTTTTTTCTGATTTCTGCCCATCTGCTCTTTCCTTAAATCTTCCTAAAGGGCACTTGCAAAGGGAAGATCACTTTTCCTTTAACTTCACATTAAAGTCTAAGACCTTTCAAGTAAAATATTTTGTTTTTCAAGAACATGTGTTTAGAGTGGTAGGAAGAAATACAAGCTGCCTGAAAAACTGTGACTCATTTTCATGTGGTTTCTCCTAATAGATGAAGACAGTGATTACCTCGCAGAAAGATCAATTGAAGAGGTTTATTATCTCTGGTGTTTGGCTGGAGGAGACTTGGAGAAAGAACTTGTCAACAAGGAAATAATTCGATCAAAGCCACCCATCTGCACACTTCCCAAGTAAGGAAGGAGAAGCACTTTCGGGGAAAGGAGAATGAATGGAGAAGGCCAGTGATTTTGAGAGAACATTTTGGTTTGGTTTTTAGTTTCAAGACCTGTATGTACAAAAAATATTGAAAAGGGCATTCTCGAACAGCAGTAGATCATGTCACTTACCCTCTTACCCAATTTAAGGCATTATTTGAATGCCTTGTATCTGTCACCTACCTGCACTCCATATTGCTTTCTGAAATTTGAAGAAATATAGGTGAAATGCAAAATACTGATCTCGAACTTCCTAAATTTAGCATACTTCCAATAGCATTAAGTTTTTGTAAAAATGTCTCACTGTGCTTCAACAGTATATTTGCAATTGTAATTTAATTTAATATGTTCTGTAGCAAATTTTCACATTCTGAATTCCCTCTCACAGAGCAGCAGTACTAAATGGTCAACATGCTTACTTTTGTGACTTATAATTCTGTAACAGTATGTTAGTCATTACTGCTGCACACATTGCCATTTTATGTAGTATATTCATATTTTAATCCTAAATCGGATCTTAATAAGGATTTTGTGCCCATATAGATCAATTTGCTGGTTCTGGGTTTTAAAAACACCTGAAGTCAGTGTGCAGCCAAAATGCAATATCTTGGCGGGGTTGGGGGGGAGAAGTGGAGGTTTTAAGTGATGTTTTGGTAGCAAAATCAGTGTGAGATGTTGAAGGATTGCCTATTTCTATACCCATCGGTTAATGCATGTGCTTTTGAGTTATGAGGGGAAAACATTCTTTGTTGTGCTGTCTTGAAGATGAGGTGTTAATTTCAAAAAATGCAATCTAACTCCATCTTCTAAGTGATACTGAAAAGGTTAGCTTAATTTCTGGAAATCAATTTCATGTTGTCTGCTTTAAAAAATCACCAAATGGATGATTTGTGTATACTCTCCCTTGGATGCATTTGTATCCTTAGATGGGCTGCTACAGAAAAGGTCTAGGTTAGAGTTTTCTTGGTTTTTGTTGTGGTGGGAAATGGCATTCATATGACAATAATGTTTTACTTTTGCTTTTCACAATAAATAGCAGTCTTGATCAGTGCCAGGTCAAGGAATAAAAGGGAATGTAATCCCATACCCATATCTCATTACTCTTCCTCTGTGTGCAAAACAAAATTATAGAAAACCTGAAGTGTGCCTTTTTACAGCAAAACTGTTTGAATAATTTGAGGGGATTGTAGAGTCCCTTGATAGCAGGGTTCATGCCGTGCAGAGTCAATACAGTATACTTCTAAGAGATAGTATTTTATTTTAAAGAGGAAACACTGATGTAAGAATTTTCTGCTTTTTTTCTAACTCAAGTCCTACCTGATAAAATGACCTGTTTTTTGTGGTTTTTTTCCCCTCCCTTTTGAAGCTTTTTATTAGAAGATGGTGAGAGCTTTGGGCAAGGACGAGATAGAAGTTCCCTCCTAGATGACACAACTGTGACTTTGTCTCTGTGCCAGCTCCGAAATGTAAGAAGAATACTGTGGACTTGTTTCTGCAATGAAGACACAAGAACATTTGTTTAAAGGGAATATGGGAGAGCAGCTCCTACTTTTGTAACTAGAAGTTACAACAATATTGATTCCAAGAGAACACTTCTTGGCATCCAAGTCAGATTCTGATTTATTCTATGAAATTGCTTTCTCTGCAAAAGCTTACTAAATTTGATTTATCTTCTGTTGCTCCATCCCTTTCCTTTTCTCCCTCCCTCTCCATATTTTTGTTACCTGCTTTGTTCTGGTGTAGCCCAAATAGGTCTGTAGTACCTGCTGTTCTCCACAATTGCTAAACTAATTGGACAGTGAGTGTCTTCTGGCATTCTTTAATTCTTGTCTGTAGGTGGCTCATAATATTCAAAAGAAAGGTGAACTCCATTCAGTTGCAGCCCATTAAAGGCTTTATACTTAAAGCTGGATACCAAGTTTCCAGTAGTTAATTACTAATCTTTGGAATATGTAGCTATTAAACAACTAGTTCAACAGATCACTTCAAAGTCTTTTGCCAAAACGCAGTAATGCAGTTTTCTTCCATCTTCAGTGGAAAAACCAACATAGGATAACTAGTTTTGCCTGGTGTAATGATCAGTTACAAGATTTGCTACGTATATGACTGAATTATTGTAATTGTTCACTTATCTTTGTACACGTAGAGCTTTATTGCTGTAGAACTAGAAATTCATGCTGCACTGTTTGCATCTTGCTTTTTATAGTAATGAATGCAATTCTGTCACAGTCTTTATTAAAAACCTTTCATATGATTGCAGGGGTTAATACAGAAAGAAGGGTGACCCCTGAAGTCTTGATCTCTGCTGCCATTACCTTAATTTTGGGGGCAATGTGGCAAATACTGTGTAAAAATATTTCTTCAGTAGAACTTTGTATTGCTTCTCACAAATGTATGAAAACAGACCAAAGAACTGTGTTATTTTGTTTGCTTGCTTGGTGGGGTTTGGGGGGTAAGGGGAAGGTTAAGAATGTGACGCAGCTATTTTAAAGGTAATATGCACTGAAGCTCTTAGTGTTGTTCCTGCAAAAGGGCAGCTTTTTAAGGCTTTTAAAAAACTTTTTAATTTGTAATTTTGCATATTTCTGCCTACTTCTATAAATAAAGCATCATGTAAGTATATACTGAAGTTTCATTTCGGGGAAGATAGAAGCCTGAACCTTGCAGGGTTAGCTGAAATAAATTTTTTAACTTATACAGTTCTTCAAACACCTTTCACAGAGTAGAGCATGATGCTTCTAATCAAAAGAGGATCAGTACTGAATGAACTGAGAATGAACTGTTCTGTCAGTCCCAGGAGGAACAGGCTGTGTGCCGTATGCCTTTAAGTTAGGGATTGAACTGCAAAACAGAGCACTGCAGGGAGGATGGTATTAAACATTAATCACCATGCACCAAAGATGTCTGAAAACTTCAGGCAAAAGTCCAGGCATGCTTGTCTGTCACCTTTCCAGAGATTGTCTGGGTTTCTGTGCAGCTTTCAGATGCTGCCTCTAAAAGGAACTTAAATTTGCATAACTCGAACTGATTAAAAACATAAAACCAAGTTGTGCAGTTGCTTTGCAGCTACTTGGGTAGGAAGTCCTTGTAGAAAAATGAGGAAAAGAAAAAGAACTATGTAATACTATTGATCTATTACTCCATGGCCTGTAGAAACTATTTTTATGTGTGAAAATAGGTTTAGGAATGAGATCCATGCTATCTTCAGGCAGAAGAACTTCCATCAACTCAAAAGGCCTTGGATGTATTAGCAAAAGTTTTTAGTTGTTTCTTTGCTGATGAAGGACTGAGCTAATGCTTGGGTCCCAAGGAAGCTACTAATTTGGCAAATGAATTTCTGACTAATAGTTAAATATTTCCACTTAAATTCTGATCAGCATTCTGATAATTATTTTTATTCTTCATTTCAGAGACTGAAGGATGTTGGTGGGGAAGCATTTTATCCATTGCTTGAAGATGAGTAAGTGTGTGTGTAAGTCTGTACATATATAGGGGACTAAATTTTGAATTATTAGTTTTGAGTGGCACACTGCACGGCTAGACAAAACTGTCTTCCAAAAGCAATCCTAACATGGCCTTGTGTGGCTCGTGAAGTCCACAAGAGCTGATAAGCGCTCTGCAGTGGTGGACTTAGGGCCTGATATTAAACTGAAGATCCTAGTCTATGTCTCTGTTCTGGAAATCAACTGTTTATATTGAATATTCAAAATTATCCATTTATGCTTGATTCTGGCTCAGCAATGCATCAGTTTTGTTTTTTTTTTTTTCTACAGTGATTTGTATTTCTTGCAGTTCACTACTACTGTCCTACCTCTTTTTCCAGCCAGTCAACTTTACCTCATTCAAATAGTAGTAATGAGCTGTCTGCAGCTGCTAGTCTTCCTCTGATCATCCGGGAGAGGGACACAGAATACCAGCTAAATAGAATTGTCCTGTTTGACAGGCTGTTGAAGGTATGGAATCTTTCTGATGCTGGATAATTAGATTGGGTCTGTTAATTAGAGGATTTTTAGAGGACCAAGTAATTGAAAAAGGAAGCAGAGATATGAGACCACAGTGGGAAAAGGGGAAGAAAACCCTACAGAAGTATAAGATTGAAAATAAAAATATGAGAAATAGGTCTTTTTAGTAGTGATGAATATAAAAATAGATTTTAGAGTATGCACATGAAAATAGAGCTGCTGCTAATACTTGTTATTTACTAAAGAAAATAGTTCTGCATCCTTTATTTCATAGTTATAGTTATAAATATTCCTGTAATATTTCTGTATTTCCAAGCAGTAGGGTGCTTGAAACCAAGACCAGTCTTTACTGTAGTAGTGCCATGTTAGAAATATGGGCTTTATACTGAGGGGGGAAAGTACCGGTCCCTAATTTACTTATATGCAGAGAGATGAATTCTATGAGAGAGAGCTGATGCACATCATCAAGTGCAGTACTTAGGAAGGTATAAACTAGAGATGTTTAATAAAACCAAAATGGATACACAGTATGAAAAGAAACATATAAGGAAGAAAAAACTTTCAATAAAGATTTGGATTAGTAGATTTATATATCCAGTGTATGCCAAAGCACATGAATACATTTATGAGAGGGAGTGGATATTTTAACATCAAACAGCAGTCCTCCATCCAGCCCTTCCAGTTAGGAATGAAATTTACTTGTTGTAAAAGTCACATTCACTGTTCAGCCTGACAGCATTTATCCTTTAGGGGAAATACCATACCAGGACTGGGATTTGAATAGTTTTGGTGACATGACAACATTTTTTGCTGTTAATCTCTTCTCTTTGAAGGCCTACCCATATAAGAAAAACCAAATTTGGAAAGAAGCCAGGGTTGACATCCCTCCGCTTCTGAGAGGCATAACTTGGGCTGCCCTGTTGGGTGTTGAGGTAAGGGTAATGGGAGGGCATTTGCAGAAGTTCCAGTACTGACTGGGGAGGGAATGGGATTGACAGGGAAGCTGGAATGGATTTGAAGATTTGGCAGGTAGGATTACTGGAAATTCAAACAAAATGAGTCATGAAATTGTGTGAACAGAGACAATGTTTAAACTTGTGTCTTGTCTGTAATGTTATTTGATTTCAGAGAATGTATGTGAACTTGACTGCCTTTAATTTTGATTATGAGATGAAAGAATACTACCCATACAGCCAAATTTTTCTAGATTGTTTAAATACAATTGGTAGTTAACAGGAGGATTTTTGTTTTGATTTATAATATTTTTGACAAATTAAGTTAGAATCCTTCTGCTTCAGTCAGCAATAGTTGGGCAAAACCAGGATGAAACATATTAAGTGTATTTTTCTCACCTACCAATCAATGCACTTCCTCCAAAGGCTGCAGAATAAATAAATTAAATGTAACTTTTTTGGACAAAGGACTAGAAATGGATGTCTCAGAAATGAGGACTCCTCATTGCTTTAGTTCCCAGCTTTAGCATTTACCCTGCTTGTAATCTGCAGTAGTGCAGCAAAGAAGTTCTTCTAACACATCCCAGGTTATTTAGGATATTTAGCTTAGGATGTGATCTGCTGAGTGCTGTATAATATAACCAAAGAAAAGCTGTTTATGGTAAAGAACAACCGCTGCTCTGAGTCTTGGGAGATGAGTCAGTTCTGGTGCTTCATCAGCTTACCATCTCTACAATGCAGGTAGCGTTTCCCTGCCCGTAACTTTAAGAGGGACTTGTTAGCATGCCTGTCTTGGGATTCTTGCAAGCACAGGCTACTTAATACTGATATTATCAGTATAGACTACTCTTAATTAACAGGCAGCTGTATTCAGTGGGTGTATAGAGATGATGCTGAAAGCCACTTGCCAGTGTCTGAAGTAAGCACAGAATTTAAATTGAGAGCATCTCAACTTGAAAATGGAAAACTGTATCAAGTACGTAGCTTTCTGTATAAACAACTGAAAATCACTGAAGATCATACTGAGGGGGTCACAGAAAGGTCTATATGTTCTGAATTATAACAGAATAAAAAAGGTTTTGTTAAAATTCATCTGTCAGAATTTTCTGCACTTTGGAAATTTTTTTCTGGAAAAATAAGTTGCTATCTAAAGCATCTAACAAAAACAGTCAACTTCTGCACGTCAGCATGTACATTGTAATATGCTTCTATGTTTGTAAGGATTCAAGTATTCTTCTTCCACATTTAGGGTGCCATACAAGCGAAATACGATGCCATTGATAAAGACACACCAATTCCTACAGACAGACAAGTAAGACTTCCAATGTTATCAAATATTGTCACTTGAAGTAATGCAAAGATCTTTTCCACCACTTAGTCATTCGCCTATTACAGCAGCTGTGGATGATAATACTAAAATGGTTCCTCCTCTCCTCTAACCTAATTCATACCTTAGCAACAATCTTGCGAACAGATAGGAATGAGTAGTTTAACTCAAATTATGTTATAAGGTGTGGAAAGTGAAATCCTCTTTACTTCAGAATCACTGTTTCTGTAGCAGCAGCAGAGTGTAGTGAACAATATTACTGATGTAATTGTTAATTGTTGTGCCTGTTGGACCTTGTACCAGCTAGTGCTGAGTACCCTGATAACCTGTAAGGTGAGCTGTGCTTCACAGAAATGGGTTCTTGAGCAGTTAGGTTCTGCAAGAAGTCGTGCCAGACATAAAAAGACATCACGAGCAATAGCTGTTCCTTTCAGCTGAGTGAAGAAATATTTTCCATCAAATTGGGTACAGCATCCTGAGAACTGGGATTTGACCAAAGTGATATTAGCACCTGAAATGAGTCCAAAAGTTCGGTCAGAAAAAACTAACTGTAATCTGCTTTCTGCCTTTTTCAAGGCTTAGAACCCTTTTAAAAATATAAACCTCAAAAAAGAAAAAAATATCTATTTTTAGTCTTGGACAGGGCTGTTAGTCCCCTGTCCCCTTTCAGTTTTGTTTTTGAGAGTGATGGAGGAAGCAGACTGTGTTTATGATGGTGGTCTGACCTACATTCCTTGGCTGGCTTCCACCTCCACTGTTGCAAGATTGCTGTAGTTACTACTACCCCACTTACCCTGATTTCTCTTTGTATTATATGCTTGGCTGTGGTGCAGATTGAAGTGGATATTCCTCGTTGCCACCAGTATGATGAATTGCTGTCATCACCAGAGGGTCATGCAAAGTTTAGACGTGTATTGAAGGCCTGGGTTGTTTCCCATCCTGATTTGGTGTACTGGCAAGGTGAGTTTGACTAGTTGGCAAGGTCAGATAATTAACTGGAAAGCTATGGCTGACTTAAAAAATACTTCCCTCCCTTCCTCCCACAATGTAAGCTTTTTTTGAGTGCTTTCCTTTCTGTTTCTTTTGAAGAATGAATCTGTGGGTTATTGCAAGTTTAGATCCTAAAAGTTTATTTTTAATTTGTAATGCAAAATTGCCCCACTATTTCTTATATATTTGCCCCACTATTTCTTATATATTTAACCTCCTTAATTTCCAGGCACTTTACTTAAAAAATTTTAAAAAGTCTGTTGCTTCCTGTTCAGTTCCAAGGTAAAACGGCAGAAGTTACTGAGCGAGTTCCTAGCATGGTAAATTGCATTTCTTGGGAGCCTCGGCAGAATAATCAATTCAGCATTCCACAATTTTAAATCCTCTCTGTTTTCATGCATTGATTTCACAATTGTTCTCAGCATTACGTGTGAAGCCTGATATTGCAGAATAATAATCAGTATCAAGTATGCAAATTTTCATGATAAGTTAATGAATGTTGCTTGTGCATTACAATAAACGAGCTCTTCATGCTGTTTCTATGTGGATCTTCTCTCTTTAGGTCTTGACTCTCTTTGTGCACCATTTCTGTACTTGAATTTTAACAATGAAGGTGAGTACCTTTTCCTGCTGGGAGTCAGGGGGAAGCATAGTCTGTTGTCTGTATCTAGTTGTAGACGGATGTGCATGCACCTGCTTATAGGTGGAAACTTTCTGTGGCTACAAAGGAATTTTAAAGCTCTTGTTGCCAGAGGTCGAAAGAAATGGTGGTGTTTTGAAAAGTATATGTGGTGTACTGCTCTTCAAGCAGGGGTTCAAACCCTGTGTTTATTGCAAAGCACGTTAATGAATATGTAATAAAAAGCACAAATAACATTAATTACAGAAAAGCAAGAAATGCTTCTCTAGTACTAGTCTTTTTCAGTGAAGCTGTAGTTGAGCCTTGTTTAATAGGAGTGCATTGCTGTTAACTTGTCAGACTAGCTTTATTCAGAAAAGCTGATGGTGGTTTTAAATGCCTGAAAGCTTATCAGACCAGCTTTGGATATGTGGCCTTTATCTTAGAAAGTGATTTGTTCAGAACAGGTCTAGTCCAATCTTCTGTTCTCATGCACCTGCCTTTCTTTATATAAGGTCTGTGTGTGGGGAAGACTAGTTTCTTAGGACGATGACTCCTTTTATGCCTACTGTGCATATTGATATAAGTATTTTAAAAGATTTTTCTTGGTATTGGATATGTTCTCTCCAATTTGATTGTAGACCCTGCTCTCCTTCCCGTTGAAGCAAAATATAATAGTAATGAATTACATAAAATTATGTGTTCTGGTTTATGAACATAATTGTACCCACTTGGCTCAGATATTTAAAAAGGGGTTTCAATGCTAGAAAAGTTATAACACAGAATTAATTTCTAACATAGCCTGTGTCATATTTGCTATAAATCTATGTTGTACTTAAAAACTTCTAAATTATATTTATTGTCATTGAACAATTTATGACAAACCCATATTTTTTTTTATATCTCTGGTCTAGCACTGTGGCTAAGAATTGAATTACTATAGATTGTCTCTCTACCAAGTTCCCAGGAATTAATCAAAGGGATTAACACTTAAGATTTTACCCTCTAATCTCTATTTGTTATGTATGTGAGGAGCTGTTGAGAAATTTAAGATGTTTTTGTCCATCTTTTTGACAGTATTTTTAGTTATATTCCACTCTGTGTTTTTTCTTCTGAATTCTATTAACTTTGGTCTCAGAGTTGAAGTAAGAGAAGAGATGCAAATCTGATGGAGCATAAACTGGGTGTAAATTCTATAGGAGAAGACCCAGAAGACTGCAACAATGCAATTGTCTGAAACTGTCTTCTAAAATTTTATTTATCCAGGGACCTTCACTTTTTGATACAAACATCACCATGGCTTTCCAAACATCATCTCGTTGCTTTGTCAGTGAGAAGTATGGAAGTAAACTGGGAGCAGATCAGGGCCAGACAGCTTTATATTGATTTCTCAGTGACTGGAGAACATTTTTAGGAACTTAAAAAAATCTTTAATGAGGAATGTGCCCTTTTTATGTGTTTTAAGATCATTTTTGTGTATAGGTTGATTTAAGTATTCATGCTTATTATCTGCTTAATAATGAACTTTTTTAGGTGTACTTATATTTTTGCCTCTGTAGTTGCATCGATTTTTCTAATTCTTTCAGCTCTGGCATATGCCTGTATGTCTGCTTTTATCCCCAAGTATTTATATAACTTCTTTCTGAAGGATAATTCCCATGTTATTCAAGGTAAGTCCCTTTATTTTATTTTTTTTTGTAGTTAGAAGTAGAATTATTTCTGAATATATAAATACACTTTTTTTTTAAAGAAGGAATGGCAGCTCTGGATGGCTGATTTGTGGAGCTGTGTGTACTTGGGTGGCTTATATTTGGGGCAGTAGTCTGTTGTGGAGCATTGAGATGTCAGCATGTTCTGATCTGGGAGCAGGGTTCACATTCTCCGTCTCTCTTCCTCCCCTCGACTAGCTCTCTGGGTCCTAATTACTCTCTTCTTGGGAGCATGGAGGAAAAGGAATTGCCATCTGTAATTAAATGGCAATGTTACTGCCTCTTCATCTTCCTTCTAACAAAGCATTTGTCAGTGTGGACAAAATTGTGAGAGGGGCAGAACAGAGAGAGAAATCTGTCAGTGTCTGTGTTCTGCTGTCTGCTTCTCTTCCAATTAAAAGCAAGTGTTAGCTAATGAAATGGTGCCCCTCAGCCTAATGTACCATGCTAAAGATGTAATAACTTTCATGTTTTATAATAAGTATTTCTCCTTATCTGTTTCAAGAAATACAAACTAAGATGTTGCTGATCATGGAAGTGGTAACCTTAAAGCCCCATTGCCTTAAAACCTCAGCTTTTGGATTACAAAATTTAACTTTGTAGAAACAAAACCGCACAGAATATGATTTAAAGAGTATAAACTTTGTGTACCATTAAAACAGTTTGGGTCTTGAAAATCCTTGGAACTCTCTTCTTTATGTGCTTCCATCAATATCTTGTGGCTCATACTCATACTGAAAAGTCTTTAACTTTATATGTTGAACATGCAGAGTTTTTTTTTTTTTTAAGAAATGAAAGTTGTTCCACCTTTTAGATTAGTGAGAGAGGTGATTTTTGTACCTGTAACAAGACCTGTAACATCACAACGTAAGTATGAACCAAGTAAACGATTGTTGAAAATCCAGATTGAGAGGTACTAAGGAAGAGAAATTAAACCTTCCTTCCTCTCTATTGAATATAATGGTGACAAGGAGGACAGTAGTGGTATTCACTTGCTGTTTTATTGCAGGTTTAAAAAAAAATTGAAAAAGTTAGTGTTCGTTTTCTACAGCTCTATTGTGAGCTAGTAGCATGTGGTGGCTTGTGTCTTTGACAATGATCTTGAATTTGCTTGTCATTTCAGAATACCTGACCGTGTTTTCCCAGATGATTGCATTCCATGATCCAGAGCTGAGTAACCACCTTAATGAAATTGGTTTTATTCCAGATGTAAGTGTTAAGTGTTCTTATAAATATTATTCAAAGGAAGTAAAAAATGGAAAATTAAGGCAACTAGATGAGTTACCTTTCCAGACTGTTTCAGTAGCAGTTTGACATAAGTGAAACTTGCATATTAATGGACTTTTCTGAGTATGCTGATAAAATAATAATGTTTTGATTGCTAGTTTACATACTTCAGTCCTTCCCATTCTGTTGGCATGGTAAATACAATAAAAATCCTACTAGTCAAAAGATGTATATAATTTAATTTTTAAAGTGTGGATTAATACACAAAAATTAATGAGGCCATAAATGACTAATAGCAAAATTTCTGCAAACTAATTAAATGCTTTTGGTTAACACAAAAGTCACGTCAGTTTGCAACCAATATAAAAAATACGTACATGTGTCTGTAGATACATCAGACCTTGGAAAATGCTTAGCAGTCATTTGTTGGAATCTATCACAAACATTGGACAAGGGCATAGCTTGTTTTCAAGTTTTGTGCTTTCATTGGAAGAAGTCTGTAAGATGGAGGAAAATGAAAACTCAGAACACAGCCAAAATGTAGTAGAGAGGGAGGGGGAAGGTTGGAAAAAGCAAAACAAGGCCTTGTTTAGAGCCTTACTTTTAGCTATCACTGTGAATAGTGAAGCTTTCTTCCTTTGTTTAGAGACGCGTGTATAGTCCAGAAAGCCAAGATTATACTCTATGAAAATGTTTGTGTGCCTGCTATAGCATTATCGAAGTTTATGGCTGATGTTTCTGAAAAGTAGATTTAGGCAAGGCTTTAGAGAGGACGTTGTTAATTGATATGGTCTATGCCATGATCTATTTGACATGCAGAAATTTGGTAATTACAAGTTGGTTATAAGAACAGATGATGACTGAGAGGTCAAAATTGAAGAAAACTGAAGTTAGGAGATGCTAATGTAGAAATTTTAAATTTCATAGATAAGAAATTCATATGCATTTCTTCTGTAAGAAATACAAAGCTTATTTTCTCAGAAAAGCCTTTTGCTTACTAGGAAGTGCTTTAAGTTGAAGCAACAAGGCTCTGAAAGTCATTTGATGTACACAGTTCCTGGGTGAATTTGTGTGTGTTGGGGACGGGCAGATACTCATTATCACTGTTTACAAATATTGTAATTGAAAAGCAAATAGATCCTTTCATTTGTAGTAGTGTTTTTAATGTAATAATGTTGTTTATGAATGATACAAATTTAAAAGACACTGTGTCATTAAAATGAGCAGAAGAGAAAGCCAGGGTGTGCCATTATAAACACAGATGTTTGAGAAGGACACATGTATTGCTGATGACCCACATCTGAAGAGGGCAGGTGGGAGGAAGATGAAGGGAAGGGGGGAGAAGGGAGAACATTCATCTGTAGAGACTAACCATCTGGGGAGATAAAAGGCATGGGTAACAGCAATGTTTATGTTCCTGAGGGAGAACCAATTTTGCAGCATCACTGTGTAAATGTACTGGATTTTCATTTGTTAAAGGCTGTGGATTACCAAAGCAATTCTTCTGTGTATTTTGTCCAGGATACTAGT